AACCAGCAGAATCAACCACAGTGGGAACAGAAAATCAGCACAGAAAGTTAATAGAACAAGGGTAGTGTGCATGTATGCGCACACCCAAGGCTGACATCAGGTGGCCCCTACACTGAGGCAGAGTCTCTCAACTGAACCCAGGACCAGCCAGCTTCATCTAGTTCAGCTCCATAATTTCCTCTCTGCCTCCACATGCTAAGATCACAATAATGACAGCACCAAGCCCTGGCTGGCCACCAAGCCCTGCCTGGCATCGGGACGGCTCTGAAGGTCCCAACTCCAGTCTTCACACACGCATGGTAAGCACTTTAACACCTGGGCCATTCCCCTAGCCCCCAGAGGGTAGTTTTTAAAATGAGTGATTTGATAAGCTTCTATCAAAGAAAGAAACTTGTGCATTTCTCAACAAACAGGCTCTGTGAAAAATAGAACCAAAAAGACATGTCCTACATCAGTCTACAAAGTTAGTATTAAACCAGATAAAGATTATAGAAACAGAAAACTAAAGACCAATATTTCTCATAAATATAGTTGCACATAAAATACAAGCATATCAAATCCAACAAAAGAACCACACAGCACCACTACATGGGATTTACTCCAGAGCAGAGGTGTGGATCATTACTGAAAAGCATTTAAAGTGATTCATCACACCAGCAAGCTAAGCAAGAAAAACAAAGATTATTCCAGAAAACGTACTTGACAAAATTCAACAAGATAAAAGTTCACTCTCCAAATGGAAGAAGCTTCCTCAACTGATTCAGACTGAGTGAGCAAAGTCTGAATGCTTTCCTCCATGGATCAAGAGCAGCAGGATGAGGTAAATTCAGCTGTATAAATTAACGAGAAAAAGAAATAAAGACATTCAGAAAGAAGCAAAGCCACTGTTTCCAAATGGCATGCCATATATGGGAAATACAGAAAGTATTAGGACAAATAAGAGAAGTTATCAAAGCGCACAATACAGTGTCTACGGACAGAACTCCAGTGGACTCCCACACATCAGCAATGAGCAGCTGGAAAATGAACGTAACAAAACTATTCCCTTCATGACAAGAGAAGCAGAAATGGAGCCTGTCAGTGAAGACAAACTTATGGAGACAAAAAGAGATAAAATGTTGTGGGGTTTTTCTTGGGGAGGGTGGTGGGTGGGGAGGGAGCAAATGGAGTGTCCTGTTGAAGATGAGAGGGCTTATTTTGAGTTTGATTTTTTTTCAAAAATGTTCTAAAATTGAAGCTGGAGAGATGGTTTAGTGGTCAAGAGCATTTTGGTGCTCTTATAGAGGACCCAAGTTTGGTTCCCAGCACCTACATCAGGTGGTTCGAAACCACTGTAACTCTAGGATCCCCAGGGGATCCAACACCCTCTTTTGGCTTCAGTGAGCACTGTGCTCACATGCACATACATGCACACATACATATACATGAAGAAATCTTCTTTAAAAACAAAAGTAAAAATGTTCTAAATTGGGATTGTGTTGAGAGAGCAAAACTGCGAAGATGCACTGTACATGTTGAACATTATAGCCCATCAATCATACCTCAGTAATTCAAAATGCTGTAACTTTATTAATTGAGATAATTCACATATTCATCAAATACATGGAAATATATCTTTTAGAACATGAAGAAAGATGTGCTAGCAGACTTCTGCCGCATCTACCAGCCTACCATGGGTAAAGCGGGTATAAATAAAGGCCATAGAAGTTTTCAAAGAAATCTCTCACCTGATCTTTGCATCTCGAGTGAAGGATGGAAAGGGTGCCTCAAGAATGACTTCTCTGTTCACTTGCTTGTTTGTGCTATCTGCCAGAAACTGTCCCAACAGTTTCACAAAGCCATCTTTAAAATGGGTCACTGTATAGCCCAAGCTTACCACCCTGCAGAAAAGACAAGTTCCTAGGGGCAGGGAGAAGCCGTTCCCGGAAGCATGTACAGAAGCCTAAGCAGAAAGGGCGGCAGAAGAGGAGGTCAGGGCAGCTGCAGGGGTGAGCTGAGGCAGCCCAAGGGAGAAGGCCTGCAAGCAGAAGACCCCCCCAGCACACAATGTGAAGGGGGGGGGGAATACAACTAAGAGGGGCCTCTGCAAGACAAGACAAGACCCACAGGCTACTCTAAAACTGAGGAGGCTGAACAAACACGGAGGAGAAATAAGCGGCAGGGAGGCTCTCTGGGGCCCCACTACAAACTGCAAACACAGAGCCCTGAGATAAATCGGAAAGGACAACTCACTAAACAGGACAGGTGAATTGTTGCAGGGTTCTGGACCGCTAAGGTCCTGTCCCATGCTGCTCCTGGTGCCTGAGTCAGCCCCACCGTCCAAGCCCACCAGGGAGAGAACAGAGTAGCCTACATGTGTCTCAGGTCTTAAGGGTAGCCCTGAGGCTACACCCCAGGGACTGGTACTTCAAGGTCACAGGTAGGTAGAACAGGTATTCACTACATCTCCCCCTTTTGTCTAAATAAGAAAGTTCTAACCTAATACAAAACTATATACAATAGGAATGATTATCAAGTATCGTCCAGGAGAGGGGAAAGGTACTAATATAAACAAAAATAGAAATACAACCAGCAAGAACAACATCAAACAAGAGACACACACTAAATATCCAGACCATGGGTAAACGGCATGTTACTCCAATAGCTGTCCTATCCTGAAGAATCTAACTTAAGGTGTTATTAGCTAAGATACGAGAGGATTATAACTGTAACTATCTAGTCCTCAACCCCATCAAAGATCTGAGAAGGAAAATAATGTTACCAGAGAAAACAGGATGTGCAAGCAAGCAAATTCCAAAACCCTGCAGGAATAGACAGAGACAGCCGGCGGCCTGGACAGTCAAGCCTCAAGTGTTGTGCACACACCCACCTCTGCTTACAAATGAAGCTTGGTGCTTCTCTGGTCCCAGAGGGTTCTCACATTCCTGAAAGGCTGAGGGGATCAGATTCTGGACTCATGACTCTGACAAAACCACCAGGAGACTCTAAAGAATGTGCTGTTAGAATCCACAGTACCTGCCACAGCAGCCCCTTCCCTAGATACCACCAGGCACCCTCCTGAGAACACTGGGATTTCTCACCAGGACAAGTGAGTTTACATCACAAGAGACAGTGGTGGCCACACAGTCTGATCCCCACCATTTCCCCTACCCCGTCCCTGGGCATCATCTAGCCTGGGTACAAGATCCTGCTGAGAAAGCACAGCCATCCTCAAAGGTCTGTAGGAGACCTCCACTCCTGCCTCGTCCCGATGCACTCTTCTGAGCCCCCTCAACGATGATGGCAGAGCCTGAACTCTCCTGTGTCCCTGCCATGCTGTCTGTTGTCTGTCTGTTCATGACAAAATGCTAGCAACTAAAACACCAACCATCTGCCTCAGTGTCCCTCTTAAACCCATCCCCAACCTTTTGGAGACTCCATCCCGCAGTACCCCAGCCCTCATGTTTTCCTTTGCACTCCTTACAGTTGGCTCAGTGGTAAAAAACAAAGCAAAGGCTGCACTGTCATTTCTGCCAATCCTCAAAGAATGCTGGCCGGCTCAGTCTTAAGGCCAGGGTGTCCTAACGACCGATAGTTAGATTTCTGATAAACGGAAAACATTTCCATTTCTCGAGGCATCTTCCATGTGCTCTATCTTCCCCTGCAGCCCAATCACATCCTAACGTAAACATTTCCCAGATGTTCTGTGTGGATTTGCACAGAACGTGCACTCACGAAAGCACACGGAACTTGGTACATACAGCTAACCATATTCCCAACCTCTTCATAAGTAAGGATCACTGGAGCACACAACTTAACTGAAACACCAGCACCACTAAGCTTACCCAGAAGACTGGCATTCAAGGCTCTCATGATTCTAGGCCTGCCTGTCTAAGCTCCCAGCTGGGCTTCCTGCTCTGTCATACCAGCCTTGTCATCTGCAGTTTCCCAAATACATATCTCCATCATTTTGACCATTCCACTGTCTCAGATGGCTTGAATGAGCAAGAAACAAAATGACTCTCCATACTCCTGAGCACCTCGCAAAGGCTACCTACTCATCGGGCACAGTAACCATCTCATCTCATCATTCTGCTTGATACATTCGATGGCTGGAGGGCAGGGAAATCAAATCCAGAACCCTCGAGTCTCCAATGCCTACAGAATGCCTTGGAGTGGGCTCGGTGGCTCAACCCTGTGATGCCAGCACTCTGGAGTCTGAGGATCTTTCGTTCCAAGGCAGCCTAAGTTACACAGTGAGAGATAAACCCTGCAGACACTGCAGGGTTCTCAACAAGCCTTTAAGCAAGCCATCATCTGACCTTCAGTAGACAGAAGAGCTTCTCAAAAGACAGCCATCCTGGCTTACTTATTTTCCACTTCTACTTAACGGATTGCAGCACTCTATAAATGGATGTCAAAACGCAGTGAGTGGTCCTCTCTTCCTTCCTGGGCAATCCCCTATCCCACCTGCTCCACCCCTATACTTAAGCCAACAGGGCAACTAAAAGGCACAACCCCACTACTCCTCTGCATCTTACCTTTCCAACGCCCCAAACCTCTGTCGTGCATTCATCTGCCTCCTCCCAGAACAGGGGCCCAAGGGCAAGACGAATATCCTTTATTAACCCCCAGCGGAACTCAGCAAGGAAAAAATAAAAATTTAGAAGTGCTCAAAATTCTTTAAGTGAAGTGCAACGGTCTCCCAAAACTAACTCTCCGAGATTAAAATGTGTAAAAGAAAAAGATGCGTCTAATTTATGATTCTCTCAGATAATAAAAGGCATCCCCGCTGCAGCTCCTACAACTCGCGCACTGACGCCTGAGGTGGCAGGGAGCTATTACACAGCAAGAAACAAGCCGGGCCCGGTACTAAACCCCCGGCATTGACCTTGGCTGCAGAGACCCCAGGCGCGAGCAGCATCACCGTGCGCGCTGAACCGCGTGGGCCACCGTACCCTCCAGCCGCAGCTGCAACCGGGCCGACCTCCGCGGCCTCGCCCGCGCTGCCCGCAGCTCACCTCGGTTCTCCTCCTCCAGGTGCCGCACGCGCAGCTCGTCCTCCGTCTTCACCTCAGAGCTGTAGCCCCTCCTCGGGGCGGGACCCCCGGCCCAGGCTGCAGGGCCCAGCCGCGCACAGCACGCGGCCACCAGGCGGACGCGACTGGCTCTCAAGGCGCCCAGAGCGCCGGGAGCCGCCGCCGCCATGTTGTCTGTTTACAGGGGGCGCCCGCGGCCAGGCTCCGCCCCCGCTTGGAGACGCGCACGCGCACGACGGGCGTCTGGCGCTCTGGCCCCGCCCCTCGCCGTCTGGCCCGGCCCCGGCCCTGGTGGTTTCTGAGGTCCAGGTCTGCGCTGCCAGTGTGACATTAGTCTCTTGCCACCGCAGAGAAGAGGCATCGTTAAAGCTATGGAAACGCTAAGGGGACACATTCTCAAGTACCAGAGGGATTTGCCTCCCTGCACTCCTTGGACCCATAGTCTAGGGTTGTGACTGACCATCCATGCAGCAGCAAAGATACTCCAAAGACACACCTTTGAATCCCTCCCTTTGGATGTCAGGCTGTTAAAAATCCAAAAGGAAATGAAATTTCCTCCCGGTATCCCATGTGGAGACGGGCACTTTGGAGCCTAGAGGCCAGTCAGAGGAGGAACTTCTCTCCAGACAGAAGTGTCACACAGTTCTGACAACTTGTCAGACCACCTTGCAGGAAAGACTGGAGATAATGATGTGTCAGTGATGGGTGGGACCTCGTCTTGACCAAGGCTACCTAGCTAAACATACTCCTTGCCCTCTATTTAAACCTAAACCTCGGACTGGGGGACAAGAACATCATAGGACCCCTTTGTTCCTCTTCCCACTGTGGACACATTGAACTATCTCTAATTGGCCTATTAAAGACAGGTGGCTGAATTAGTTTATAAGGGCTGCCAGGACCTCAGGCTCCGATACTAATGACTCCCATCCCAAGGTCATTGTGTTAAGTGAGCAACAACGGTGAGCAAAATTGCTCCATTCCCTTAGGATTGGTGGAACAGGGAGGCAGTTCAGCATGGAAACTCTCTGCTTGTCATTAGATGTGCCTGATAAACCTGGGAAGTGAAGGGGAAAACAGCAAATAGGGAAATGGGTCCTCCTCCCCACCTATGGGGACTTCCTGGAGGCCAGTGTCCCAACAAGAGCCCACCCCAAGGAAAGCCCAGCCAAAGCTCAGGCCCAGGTGCAATTCTAAGCCAAGGGCTACTCCCAAAACCTCAGGTCAGTTCTGTGAAGATATTCCTTAGAGTGCCCTGTTTGAGAATTTCCTGGTACCTGGCTTTTCTTAGCTCTCCACTCAGGGAAAGCCTGTTGAGGAATAGGGTCTTCAAAAAGTATCACTGTTGCTGGAGTTTAAGAGTTGGCACTTGTGCCCCTCAGAGTCCTAACAAACCAGGCTCCACCACATGTCCTCAGTAAACAAACCATTTCAAATCACTGAATTGATAGGGAAAATCAGAAATGGGAGATTGATTCAAATCTGTCCATACTGGGAAGAGAGACACCAAGAGCCAATGATGTGTCAGGTCCTTCTTCAGTTAGAGAGAAAATCATGCATAGCCAGGCAGGTTAGTGTGTGGTCTCTGCCATCCCTGACCAGCACTGTCTGTGAGAAATACCCAGATTCAGTCTTTTCCTTCTCCCACTGTGAGATTCCTGGTGGGGTGGGGGTGGGGATTCCTGTTCCCTGAGGAGCCTTATTTCACAGTCTAAAGCTAAAGGGAGAGATAGAAGGTCTCTTCAGAGCACTCCCAGTCCTTCCACAGCAGCAGATTACACTCTGGCCATAGAAGTTCTGATGGAATACATTATGTTTGGCACCCTCAATGTTCCCACCTGCTGGGCTTGTCTCCAGAAGGAGAAAGCCCGTGTTGTTGCAAGTGTCTGCCTCTGCTATGATAATGACCTTGGGACACCCTCTGCTGTGAGGTTCTGCCAAGTGCCTCTTGGGAAGTTGTTCTTGAAAGTTAGGTTGTATCCTTTTCTGATAGCAATGTTCTTTTTGCTAAGTGCTGAGATTGTGATTGTCAGGGTTTATGGTTTCTCCAAGTTGGTTTTGAAGTCTCTAGGCAGACAGGAGGTGTGGGAGTGAAAGGGAGGCCAGCCAATGGGAGGGAGAGAGAGGGGAAGGGGCGGGAGAGGGAGAGGGAGATTGATTAAGGATGAGAGCCAGCTGACATGGTGGCTTCTAATTGGTGGATTTAGAGCAAGCCCCTGTTTGAGTCCTGCTGTGGTCAGAGGGTTCATCTCTGCATACCTGGCAATCCACACAGGGTGAGGACAGTGCCATGGGCTGTCTGTCCCATAGGGAGGTAAGACAGGCATCTGAATGAACAAAATTAAGAACAGAGGGGGGTGCAGAACTGGAAACCAACTGCATCAGGGTGGCCGGGCCCTGTCTCAGGGGTAAAAGAGTAACTTAATCGTTAACACAGATGCAGAGACAACCCGAAATTACAAGACTCCATCACACTGGGAAACCAACACCCCAACCATGTGTTTATTTGGTCAGCTGGCTTTTTACATGAGGTCACCCTACACTGCCCAGGTCGGTCTCTAACCGGCGACCCCAGGCCTCCCATATTTCTGACCAACCAGCTCTGCACTGGTTCCCACCAGCCTTTCCTCAGGAACAGTCTTCTGTCAGAAGAGCTCACTGAGCTGAGGAAAGCATTTTACTTCCATTACAGGTTATTACAAAGAACATTTCAAAGGGCACAAATGACCAGCCAGGTGAAGTAGCACACCACATACGGCCCAGAAGCTTCCTCCCATGGGGTAGGGTGCGACACCTGGAGCCCTCTGACCCCTACATGTGTAACTGGAGTTTTCCTGTGTCCACCTGGATCCTGCAGCCGCTCAGACTCAAGTAAACACACAGAGACTCATATTACTTATAAACTGTATGGCAATGGCAGGCTTCTTGCTATCTAGTTCTTATATCTTAAATTAGCCCATTTCTATAAATCTATGCCTTGCCACGTGGCTCATGGCTTACCAGTATCTTTACATCTTACTTCTCATGGCGGCAGTGGCTGGCAGCATCTCCTGGCAACATCTCCTGACTCAGCCTTCAAATTACCAGCATTCTCCTCATCTGCTTATCTTGCCTTTACTATACTTCCTGCCTGGCTACTGGCCAATCAGCATTTTATTTATCAACCAAATCAGAGCAACACACTCACAGCATACAGAGCGATCGATATTCACAGCACACATGCATGTGTGCACACTTGGACATTCACACACACATGCACAAACAAACAAGTGACTTTGAATTTGGGTCTTTTCAAAGGCTGGCAGCAGCATATCTACACACACACACACACACACACACACACACACACACACAAGCTCAGCCTGGGATCATGACAACCCAAACAAGACTGGACAGGGTGCCACGTTGCTAAGCTGGAATATTTAGCACTTGAGAAGTATTAAGCAAGTTTTGAAGGAAGATATTTTCAGCTTCTGATGTGTCTATTAGGATGGGGTTCACTGAAAGGCAATGAGTACCTGGACACTTCGATAACAATATGGCCGTCTCCTCCATTTACCCAAAAAATGAAGGGTGGGAATTGGCCACAAAGATGTCTAGAAACCAGCCCTATTGCTCTTCACCCCTCTTGCTTTAACAAGCCTGTGAGTACACCCTCCTGCTTCTCCTAAAAGATAAAGTCTCTTCTCTCTTGCTAGAGAACCAGAAATCTGGGCTTTGACCCCTGTCCTGCTATAGCCCCAGAATTCATTGGTCCTTGTGCCTTAAGCACTAAATGTATTCTGTCCTCTAACTCCCTTGTCCTCCTGTGGTGTCAAGGGGCCAGGACAGGGTGTCTAGTCAGCTCTGCCTACCACAAACCAGGCAGCTTAAACAACAGATTTCACTTCCTCATAGATGAGGAGGTTGTAATCCAAGGTCAACGTGTTGGCAGGGTCAGTTTCTTCTGAGGCTTATCTCCTTGGAATGCAGATGGTCACCTTCTCACTGTGTCCCCACCTGACTTCTCCACTGTATGTACCTGTCCCTGGTGTCCCTTCCTCTGCTTAGAGGGGCAGTAGTCCTGTTGTAGCAGGCCTGGCAGAGATGAAGATATTCTAAAAGAGACATCCAGGTCTTTCCATCTTACTTTGAGATCACTGAAACAATGGGCCCCAAAGAAATGATCTCATGCTGGGAGAAGGAAAAGGTGCCAGCCAGAGAGGAGACTTGACTCCTAGAAAGAGATTTCACAGTCCTTACAACTCCTTAGACCACTTCACACGGTGAGACTGGGGCCCAAATAGTGTGGGCAGGACCACACCTTCACAGGACTGCCTCCATATGCGTGACCTTGGCTCCCTAGATTCTTTTAGAGGCTTCTGGGGATCTCTTTGCTGCTAGCTCCTCTTCCCAATGTAGCCACCTCCTTTTGTGAACCTCATCCTTTTCCTGCTTTCCTTTTCTTTTTATTTTTTTATTTTTGGTATTTTGAGAGAGGGTTTCTTGGCATAGCCTTGGCTGTCCTAGAACTCTCTCTGTAGACCAGGTTGGCCTTGAACTCACAAAGACCACCTGCCTCTGCTTCCCAAATGCTGGGATCAAAGGTGTACACCACCACCACCTATCTCCCTGCTTCCCACTCTTATTGGACTGATTTAATTGGCTTGTTGAGGACAGGTGGCTAGACCTAACTTGGGGCACTGGTTGTAACCTCCAAGTTTAATCACAAACAATGTTACAGTTGAGCTTCACTCATATGAGCCTCCCAACCTTAATTACTTCATATTTACACAGTAAGGCAGAGGATTTCACTCCGTGCACTTGGGAGAGTCATAGCTCAGTATGATAAATGATTTTATTTGTTCATTTATGTAAAGTCTATGACAGCCCAGGCTGGCCTACAACTCCAGCTTCACTGTTCTTAGCCTGCCAAGGTGTACACCAACAGAGACCACACATCAGAGAACGGACTCCTCCAGTTCCTGCAGCCAGTTCTGCTGACCTATTCCTGCCCTGACTAGCCCAGTTCTGAAGCAATGCCTCAGGCAGTGACAGTGCCAGCAGCCTGAACCATCTGGGGCTCTCATGTGCCCTGTGTCACATGCTCACAGGTAACCATAAGAAGCATTTCGTCAACAGTCACATCGTTAAGCTACAGAGCCCAGTGCAAATCCAGGCAAAGTTCCTTCATGGCCCCCCAGCTCCCTGCTACTGCCAGAGCCCAGTG